TAGTAATAGTAGTAATAGTTCATCTATAATAGTGGTTCATCTCTATTTAGTTGAAAAGTCTATTTAGTGGAACTACAATAGCATATCATGGGCAGCAACTCTGTTAAAGGGTTAGTTCACCCAAAAATGAAAATTCTGTCATTAATTACTCACCCTCGTGTTCCAAACCCGTAAGACCTTCGTTCATCTTCGGAACACAAATTAAGATATTTTTGATGAAATCTGAGGGCTCTCTGACCCTCCCATAGACAGCAAGGTAACTACCACGTAAAGAAGGCGCCGCCACACGCTCGCGTCATGCTACTGTCGTGAACGCACGTCCAAAGTGATGCAGTAGAGACGAAAATGTGGAATAAAGTCGTTATTTTTGTTTTCTTTCCGCAAAAAAGTATTCTCGTAGCTTTGTGTTTTTGATAGAAGTGTCTTATCAAGGCTGCATTACAAACAGTAATATTGTGAAATATTGTTACTATTTAAAATCACTATTTTCTATTGGAATATATTTTAAAATGTAATTTATTTCTGTGATGCAAAGCTGAATTTTCAGCAGCATTACTCCAGTCTTCAGTGTCACATGATACAAACATTTATGATAATTATCAATGTTGAAAACAGCTGTGCTACTTAATATTTGTGTGAAAACCATGATACACTATTTATTATTGGCGTTAGAGTAAAAAAAAAAAAAAGGTTAACACTTTTATTCAGCAAGGATGCATTAAATTGATCAAATGTGACGGTAAAGACATTTATAATGTTACAAAAGTTTTCTGTTTCAAATAAAAGTTGTTCTTTTGAGCTTTCTATTCATCAAAGAATCCTGAAAAAGTGTATCATGCTTTCCACAAAAATATGAAGCAGCACAACTGTTTTCAATTTAATTAATTATGAAATTAAGCACAAAATAAATGCTGAAACAAAGCGAGCCATTGGAGAAATGCTAATTAAATGCCACAGTGTCATTAAAAAAAATCATATATATATATTTTTTTTGGCTAAAACCGAAAATTATTTTTCTACTGAATTTTTGGTTGCTGAAATACCAGTGCATCACTAAATAAAATACCTTACGTTTTCATGCAACAATGTCTGATTTGATTGACAGTTGATCTCAATCACTTTTATCAATTTGTTTGAATCTACAAAACAGACCTGACTGATTCATTGTTGAATAAGACTGATCCGGTTCTCTAGTTCGAATCATTGACTACATTTACATCAACTCAAAATGCTTAAAATATGAACTATTTCACCAAGTATTGAACTTTAACCTGTGTTTTGCTTTCCTGTTTGAAGAAAAAGCAATCTGTTCCAGATCAGCCACTAGAAACACTTTTACATCAGTTGTGATAAACCCGATGGCCATCTTCATTGTTGTTCTTTTCTACATCAGACCGGCATGACCCTCAACGAGCGGTTCCGCATCCTGAAGGACCAGCGTGTGGCGGCAGCACAGCAGAGCAGCAAAGGAGGCCGATTCGTCACTGTGGCCTAGAGCTGAACTCTGAGACACTGGTCACGTGTCCCTCTGTCCCTGATCACACGCTCAACAACAGTCCTACAGGACAGAACAGGCAAACAGGGACCTGAGCTGAACTAACAATGTTCATGACTCAAATCGATTAGCCCTAATGGAGGAGACTTCCTCAGAACGTGGATATGCTGGTTTTCTGAAAGAGGAGACGTTAGGGAAGCGACTGATTTTCTGTTTTTTAGGTTCTTTTTCTAAAAAGCTGCCATTCTGTCCTCACAAAGCAAGCATTACCTGTTGTCCCTGAATTTCAGTTACGTTGTGTCGTCTCCTGACCGCCCTTGATATGTGATGGCGTCCTGTTTTTTATATATGCCTAAAGCAGTTGCAGCTAAATGAGTTGAAACATTTCTGGATAGACTTTGTTTTTCATGAAACGGTTGTATGAAACAGAACATTCTTTTTGTAGAGCAAAAAAGACGTTTTATAATATTTCAATTAAAAAACTACGTATTGTGCAACAAATGTCTAATTTTTGATACATCTTTTAGCGGCCAATATTTCGTGGTAGTTACCTTGCTGTCTATGGGAGGGTCAGAGAGCCCTCAGATTTCATCAAAAATATCTTAAATTGTGTTCCGAAGATGAACGAAGGTCTTACGGGTTTGGAACAACACGAGGGGTGAGTAATTAATGACAGAATTTTCATTTTTGGTTGAATTAACCCTTTAAATTATTATTTTTTGTCCCTTATGCCTAACTATGATTAGTTTGAAATGCTTATTTTTATACATTTAATTTTAATAGTGGTTCATCTCGATTTAGTTGAAAAGTACTTTAGCATGTTTCTGCTATGTAACCGACTGGGTGGGGTAAGTTGCAGAAAGTTTGTACCCAGTTTTGTGACTTTTATAGTGGGTTATATACCTCATAAATCTGGTATGATGGCTAAAAACTTGTATTTAATAACCATTTTATCCTTTAATTCAAGTTCACTCTTCTCAATTAATCGGGGTCTTTTTTTGTGCCTGAATTTGTATATGTTGTAGTCTTAAAATATCAAGGTATGTTTATGAACCGTACGTGTCGGCAGCCGCACATCAAGGTAGCTCTGTCTTGCTTCCTGGGGAAGTCACTGCCTACGACTAAATCATGTGAGACTTAAAGTGCGAAAATAATTATCATGGTGCAGAAACAAGAGTATCGCAGACAAAATTTCACATGAATACTCCCGAGCAGTTTTGTATTTGAATATTGCATTTATTTAAATACATTAAAATTTGCAATGTAACAAAACTATTGGCATATGAAATTCAAACACCATTTAAATGAATGAAACATGGCTCACTTCATTTTCTGTGGCTAGTGCGTCACACACTAGTCTGTTTTATCTCCTCACTGTCACCTCCATAGCTCCTTCCCCCGCAGACACTCTTCACAGACTACTTACAATATGAGTGCCCAATACAAATGAGGTAAGAAAGTGGTTTGACTTTTGCAGAACATGCCTAAAAGCAACAAAAAGTTTGTTGTGAGGAACAATAAAAAAAAAAAAATGTACATAGTGTGCATAACGAAAAAAAAAAAGAATGAATTACACAGCTTTGCATCTTTGGTTACAAAGTAGGTTGAACAACTTCACAGTTTTTCTTTCTTTTAAATCCCCTTCCCGACCCCAGAAACATACGAGACGTCAGGGTAGCGGGCAGGAGAATATGGCAACTGACTTCTTTTTCCAACATACTACTAGCAACAGAACTGAAGCTTTCTTCATCATTGAGGACTCCGATCTTCGCCCACAAACCTGTACAAACTTGTTACGCTCTTTATCTTTACACTATACAAAATGTACATTCACACCAGGTTCACATTCTTAATCCACAGAGGAACGTTGCTGTTAGTGTTTACACTCCACCCACTGCTACGCTTGCATTGATGATTGATATAGTAAGACTGCTGCTCCATTTGATGACCAGTTGCTGTCGGATTGAAAGGTTCTGTAGACATTGTTCCTCTCTGAAAATAGCAGCCCTATAATAAATAACAAACAGTACAATTGAACCGACTGGTGAATCGAAATCACATGAAGTGCGGTGGCTCTGAAAATAGACTCTGGCTTCTCACATGAAAACTGCAACGCTAAAAAATACACCCTTTTCATGGCTGGATTCTCTTTATTAAAAAAATAACTCTCTTCACAAACTCTCCACCTCGTCTGGGGGGAAGGGGCCAAACGGGACCCCAATCGAGACCGCAGTCCGCAGGAATGCCAGCGTGTTGCGGCCGAGTAGAAACCGCCTCTCGTTTCGGTCATCCGTCGCGATGGCGGACAGCATGCGAACGAGATGGGTTTTCTGCTGTTGTGATGATACATGCGTCGTTCGCACAGGCTTCAGGCGGAGGTGACGCTGGGCTGCGGTTCTCGTGGCAGGGAGTCCACGGTCTCGTTGACGTCCAGCTGAAGGCAAGGCTGAGGTTGGGGCTGGGCTTGGCCCGGGTTGGAGTTGGATTGGACGGTGAGCTGAGAGAGCTGCTCGCTGTTGGCCAGAGATTTGAGCACTGCGTTCTCTCGCTCCAGCACAGAGTTTCTCTCGTAGAGCTCCTTGATTTGCTCCTTCAACACCTCCACCTCCTCCCGCACAGCATACATCAGATGGCTTTTCACTAAATCCTGCGTGACGGTGCCGAAACATGACATCATTTCAGAAAACAGTACAAAATGGCACCAATTCAACGTTTGTCTATTGCACTGCCCTGCATTATATTTGCTGGATAAAATCCAATACTTCTTAATTTCGGGGTGCTGATTCAAAAAAACGGCCTGTTTTCCTCTAGCTTGTCACACTCTCTCACAAAATACGTATTTCGTAGCATTTTGCTTTCAACAATCATTTGTAGGGTGTAACGTCTTAATCTTGTAATGTCTTGTAGGGTGACAAATGTCAAGCTGTCTTGTATTATCCCTTAATCAGCAGAAAAACTGCAATAAAGATGAGATCTTCCTCTGAGATTCCTCTGCCAGATTACAACTATTTGTTCAATTCTCAGCCAATTTTCAATGTATGAATGATCCTGAAGACAATATTTTATGCCTAATCCTGATTTTTAAGGTTAGAAGTGAAAGCAAACATGAGTCAAATATTTTCTGATACATTTGTTTTACTACAGAAAACTACAGATTAAAAAGCTAATGTCTTGTGTTTATGTAAAGTTCTTTGACATTCAATTATT